GATTAGGATCAATTTCTAAAATATTATTTGCAACTAATTCTAATATTCCAGGACGTGCTGCTAATTTATCATTTAAATTATCCGCTAAACGTGCACGTTTTAATTGGCATTGAGTTTTTTGTATAGCGGGTGCTGCTGTTGTATCTGACAATATATTATGCTCAATTAATAATTGACGATCAGGTCGAGATATTATTTTATTTTTTAATATATCTTGTGTCTAAAAAAAAAACAAAACAAACACATAAGATTTAAGGATGAAAAAAATGAACAAAGAAAAAAAAATACTTTTCGCATTTGTAGTTGTTTACGTTGTTCATAAAATGGTAACGGTGCTTTCGGTGGTGGCAAAATACCAACATCAACAAGTTGTTTAAGTGACCGACGTGTTTGTAATTTACGTTTAAGTGCTATGAAAAATTTTAGAAAAAATAAAATACAAAAGTCATTTTCAACGTTTTTGTTTTTTTTGGTGAACTTACATTCTCGATTTTTTTCAAGATCTTGTGTTAATGACTGTTCATTTATTTGTTGTTTTGGGCTGTCTTCATCTTTAAGTGTCGACATCTTGTCGATATGGTTTCCAGTATTAATGGTATTATTATTATCAAATGCCATCACATATAAAATAAAATTTTCAGACTGCCTACTAACAACATTTTCTAAATAAATAAAATAGAATCAGGTCATTAATATTTAGTGAGTATACTTCTGGTCACATTTACTACTGTTGTTCAGTGATTAGTGTTCTTTTTACTGTCTACGATAGAGCATAGATATTAAACAAAGAATAGAATAGAACAGAACATCTGTCTTTGTCTCGTTTCTTTTGCTTACTTTATGGCTCGCGATGTCTACATACATGCTCGAACGTCAGTAGCAAATAGATGGTAGCCATAGCCATAAGAGTGTAATAGGCAACGTACACACGCGTATTTCCTCTTATTCTCTCAACACACGATGTTTTATGATATTATTTTTTCTTATAGAAAAAAAAGATGACGAATGTCAAGGGCAACAAAAAAAATGAAGAAAAGGAAATACGAAAAATAGTGATAAGATTAAATTTCTAATGAATATGAAACAAACAGTTAATGAGTATGATTCTTTTCTAATAGATTTATTTATTGTTGGATGATAAAACTTTTGACATTCTATATAGAAAAAAAAAGAAGAATTAAGAAAAAAAAAATGAGAACTGTCTTTGATACTGGAGTTATTTTAGTATATTGAACTGCATAAATAAACCGAAGAACGAATAAATCAATTTCAACTTTTATTCTCTCATTCTTTCTATCTTATCGTTGATTTACGTTGTGTATATTTGCCTACTTACTCGACGGTATATGGTTAAATAATAATATTAATACAATAATGAATCATGAAAATTTTTCTTATTGGATGTTTATCAGAATAAATAGTCAACGTAGATGGCAGTAAGCATTGATCTATTCAATCAAAGTTTTTAAATTTCAAATGAAGTAAATACATGAGTATTGTATATACTGATAATATATTCTAGTGATTCTTTGATATATTTACATACTCTGTATAATTATGAAGATTGTATTTATTCATTTGAATAAATCGAAAATAAATTTTTAATCAAAAGGTTGATTGATTGAAAGTATTCATTAATGAAAGTTTGGTTAGAAACAAACAGAATTGCCTGAAGCTATTCTGCATCAATGAATCGAATAATTGTTCATTGACAGCTTGTAAGACAAATTTATTAGATGAATGTATTAATCAAACTTTTTCAAGAATATATATTTTCATAGATAGATGTTTCAAGATATTTTATTCAAATTTTCTTTTCTGAAGAGACGAACATGTATTATTAGAAGTATGGACACATATTACAATAGTCGTGAACTCTACGAGAGTCAATTCAATTTTTACAGAAACGTCATCCTCTCGATTGTGATACCAGATAAAATACTGGTATTTCATCATATTTAAAAAGAATATTATATCATTGAAATTAATCAATCATTTTGAACGATAAAGAAATTCAACTGACGAAAATATTTATATTTGTAGTTGGTAATAATGAAACTTCTATAAACACGTGTGTCTCTTATTTTTATAAAAAAAATACATTTATGGTATGATCAATTAATAATTGAAATATCTTTATTTGAATTTCTTTTTTTTATTGCTCTTCTTTCTTCATTCAAATATAAGTGTTACTACATATATAATTATATAATCTATATAAAAAGCAAATAATCGTAACTAGTTATCCTTGAATCAAAGATAGTTGAATATGATTAAAATGATCTTTGCAATTGAATATGCATTATGAAGAGAAACTTTATTATTACATAGTTATAATGAAATAAAAACATTCACTCGAATGAATCAAAAAATAATCATCAAAATCAATCACAGAAGCTGTAAAAAAAATAATGAAATACATTGAATTAGAAGTGCATATGTTGCATATTTACAAATTCGATGAAAGTACATACTAATAATCAAGTCAGAAACTTTTTTTTTCATATATGAATATTAAATAAAATAATAATTTAGAAATTCATGCTAGCATGAAATCAATAATCAATATAAACAATGATTTGCAAGAAGATCAATAAATATACAATTTAATTCAGAACTAATAATAGACAAAGTACATAAACAGACAAAGATAAAAAGAAAAATAGACTTGGATGAATTGATCGAAACTTATTATTGGAATTATATTTTTATGTATATTTTTCGTCATGACAATTGCATTTTTATTTGGTTTTGAATAATGTTATTATTTTTTTCTTTGTTTGATTGATCAATCAGATTTTAGGTTTCTTGCATTCTTCAAATTTGTTTTTTTTTTTGAATTAGTCTATCTCATTTTCATATCGGACATGAGAAATCCATCTATTCTTGAGTAAATACTATATTTTTTTTTTCATTCACGTCATGCTTGTTTTACTACCTATTTTACAGTCATCGTGATAACGGAGAACTAAATTGATCATTGATATTACTATAATACTATAGAATTCATTGTTATTTTGAAGCACTTTAAAATAGATTCTATTTTGTTACTATAAGATGAATCGGATAGATAAAATAAAGCTACATATTATTGTTGAATTTCATTGATATACATTACATTTGTTAATATAAAAAGAAGATTTAAAATGTAATTTAGTAGCTTTGAATGAATAATATAAAATTCATGTTCTCATTTTTCTGTATTACAATTGAGTTTAATTTGATACTCAATCATTGTTCATATAAATAAATATTTTAAAAAATGAACAAAGTATAAAATTTCAAAAGATTTTTGTTTAAAGAAATATTTATTTAAAAAAATATATGCATATTCATTAAATGAAATCTATTATCAAAAATATATCAGTGTTATGTTTTTTTTTATTATATAGATTGAATCATACATTATTATGGGAGTTTCTTTCGTACATTTACAGCCATCGTAGTACTACAAGTTGGACATACGAGATCGTTTGAACGACCATCACCCGTATCAACAACCATCGTTGGACGATGATATAGAGGAGAACCAATTCTTTGTGAACGAATATTCCTCACCGGAGGAGCAACTATCATACCATCAGGTCCTGTTGGTACAACTGGTAATGTATTTTGTGCTTCTGGATGAACAGTTGGTGTTGTTTTAGCTTGTTGAACTCGCACAGCTGTTACGATATATATTATAATAAAAACCAAACATAATACAAACATTACACAACCAGCAGCTAATTGTCCTTTAATTAATGGTATTTTGATATCATTAAAATTTGAAACTGAATAAAATACACCTCTTGTAGATCCAGAACTGTTACATGTTGATGATGGAAAAAAACATGTAGAAGTATTTACCAAAAAATAAGCATCAAAACCAATAACACAAGCTGCAAAAAATAATGATATACATTGCATTATAAGTGCATATGTAGCACAACCACGTTCATGACAACAACATGCTATAAAACAAAAAGATCAATAGATAGATTTAAAAAAGTCTAAATGAACAACTACATACTTGCAGATGATTGTGAAATACATGCAACAATAAAAAATAAACCTGCCCAAAGACCGACATAAATTGTAGCAGTAACAATATCGATAAGCATACTACCGATTTCACATCCAATAATAGCCACAGCAAGAACGAATTGAAAAAAAACAAGTATACCAGAAAGTGTTGATGGAAATTTTTTTCTCCATTCTGATTGTGGTGGATTATTCGTTGGAACTGTTGGAGGCGCTGGAGCCATCGGAACTGGCGTAGCCGTTGGAACGTTACTGGTCATGATGCTGACTTCTTTTTACACTTCTTTTACAAATATTTCTTATTTGATAAAGTTATTGAATCTTATATAGTATTACTCGGTTTATTTACTTTAGTTACTCTTTTCTTTCTAATTTGTAAATGCTAGAAAGGTTTCTTTTTTTTTGTTCTAGCCAGCTAAAAAATTTTTTTTTTCTATTTCTTTCTCAAATTTATTTGCAACAAAGAAAAAGAGAGAATGTATGAATGTCAACATTGTTATCGAAATGTTTTTCTTTTCTTTTTCAAACTGAATTATAATTAAAAATAATCATATAGAATGTTCTACAATTGATGATGATGATGACTTGTTAATTAGAATATTTCCATATAAGTCAAATTTTGATCTATATTAATCGATTTTTTTATTTGTAATATAGAAAAAAAAATATGAAACTTATTATTCTCAATGATGTAGACGAACAATAGAAACGGAAGTTTTTTTTTCTCATTACATTAAACTGCAAGAAAAAACTTTCATCTTTGCTTTTAATCTTTCAAAAAAAAAAAATTTGAAAACATACGAATTCATTCATATTCTAATCATCCATCAATTTTCTCCTTTATTTCGATCAATGCGCGAAAGAGAGATTAATAGATAGACTATATATCAAAATGAATAGCCTGAACGTAATGGTCGGTCATTGTTTTAAAATTATATATAATCAAGCAATGAACATTTTCATACAGTTTATACAACATGTTGCTTCATTCGATCATCTTCGTTTCATTTATCATTTTAACAAATAGCATAACAATTTTGCCATTGAATAGAACTACGACTACGAAAAAAACAACAACAGTTCCAACGGAAACTTTTACAGTACTAAGTACATTACCACCAACAACGAAAGAATATGACGCAGAAATTACAACAACAACAACAACAACAACAATGGAATATGAAGAAGAAATTACAACAACAACAATACCAGCAAAATCTATCGACCATAATAAATCTTATGAATTTCAATCGAACTTTAGTCGTAATAATGATGCCGTTTTTGTTTCTATTCATTCAAATGTATCTGATACATTTGTATCGATTAGTAATGTATTTACTGATGATAAATATGACAACTATTCATGTGAAATTTTATTTAATGAACATTCAAATAAATTAAATCAAATATTCAAAACAAAAATTATTATTGATTTCAATCTATCCTTAACACGTGATTTGGCTATTCAACTTGGTGATCGTTTAATTGATATTGCAGATCTTCTATCAACAATTCAATCGATGGACAATCAAAATAAGACATTAGAAACTGATCATTAATCTTTTTTGTTTTTCTGCTTTTTGTTTCATTTCAATAATAAATTGTTTTTAAAAAAGTAAATAATCTATTTTTAATGCTGGCGTATAATTCCATGGATAGATTTGCATTAAATTTAACAAAGTTTACGAGCTTGTTTGAGTCATGAGAATGTTTTTCAATATACGATAATCATAATTAGAATTATTTAACGTCTGAGACTATTTGAAGTAAAGCATAAATGTATGTTTCCGATCATTTCAAATACGTGTGATCTCTCAAAATAACATCTAGTTGTTAACAATTGTATACTTTCATTAAATAGCAAAGTGATTTTTCTATGAATTTCATTCACGTTTAGCTCATTGCATGTTATATTGTATTGTTTGTCTCGCGACTCATTTGTTCAAGTTATGTTTGCGACTAGATAAAAAAATAATCACTATAGTGCTAAACGACGCTAATTTTTCTTTTCTGAATAAAATATTGTTCGACGTCATGAAAAATCATATTCGAAACTCATAGAATGTGAAAGAATAGCTTTTATCCAGCGTGTAAATCAGACAAGTCATTAGAAAGAAAACAAGGAATTTTGAAATGTACTTATAATATTTTCCATAAGAAAGAAAAATTTTTATTCTATAAAGTTGAATGAATAAGAATGATATGATAAAATTCTTGACCTCAAATAGTGTGAATCAACAAAACTTAGGTCATATACATGAATTGGTAGCAGAGATTTAACAACACATTGAGCTTCAAATCAAGTAAAAATATACATTTTATTCGATGTTGTGCTAAGTATACAGATAGTTGTCGAGAAACATTTTTCTCATTGAAATTTTCTCTGATCTTTGAATGGAATGAGTGTTATTTGATAACAGAAGATAAATTATTGACGAGATTTTCATACTTTTTCTTAATATAGAGAGCTAAAGTTTTCCTCCTATATACATTTAAGCAAGATCTTTAAATTTGCAAAAGTTTTAGCTCCTAACTAAGTAGTCATCATTTTATCGTAAATGTTCACCAGTTACCAAAATAGAAAAGAGTCTAAATGGTTGATTTTGAATCTTAACCACTTCCAGACAACATAAAACATTGATCGTATGATTCGTAGCTAGAACCCGTTGGATTAAATGGATGGATAAAATCAATAGATAATGGTGTTAAATTTACTGATGTATGAAGAGCTGAAAATATCTGGAATGCACAGAACGCAAAAGTGTTTGATATATCATTACAGCTAGAAAAAAAATTGCACAAGAATGACGGCAATTTGAGAAAGAAAACTGTGTAAAAATGATACACGAAATATCTTATCATTCATAATTGGTGATGGAAAGAGCATGTTCATACCAATTGCGTTTTATTACATCTCCTGTTTTTGAAAAAAATGGTCATGTAAAGTTTCATTTCATCCGATGTTTATTAGTATCCCTAGTCCAGGAATAAACATGCTGCAGAAATCAAGTACGAAAATTCATGCATTTTAATCTAGTTTATGCATTGGGACATTAATCTTAGCTAGAAAGAATTTTGGCTTTATAGGTCAAGAAAAAATAGGAAAAATGCCATCGAAAAATCCTCTTCAATTATTATTAGACGCATTTTATATTCATGACAGAGCTCTCTATGAACTGAGCTGGACCCTATGAAAGTCGGTTGATGGGTTACTAAACTTTGATCCAAGCAAGGCCATGGTTTCTGCTTCAGAATTCGTCCACAAGATGGCTCTTATCAATTTCAATGATCTTTTTTGTCGATAGATACTGCATAATATCTATTGAAAAACTTTAATAGAATTCGAGATCCTATTAAAATTATCTAGATTTGAAGGTTTCATACACAGCAGCTTGTATAGAGAGTTCCTCAGTTTGCCGACATAGTATCTCTGAGTTATTAACATTTCAACAACAGCTGCTGCTCGAATCGCAATGAAAAACAACAGATTATTTTGAAAAGCTTCTATTAACGGATACGATATGTACAAACTCTAAAACTCTTTATGCGAACTACTACATACGAAACCTTGAAATGAAACCAATTTCAAGACAAAATTCAAAAACAAAGTTTTTCCGAAAGAATTGGATCTGTTAGTGATCTTATGCGAATAGAAATATTAAAAATTTAATAGTTCCTTCAAGTCTTCATACGAAATCGAAGCTTCTTAAAGTTTTTCAATAGATAGTGTACAGCATCAATAAGCTAACGAGGTCATTGGATTCGGTAGAAACCATCTGAGAAAATTTTCTTGTCATCCTAACTCATACCATATATCACATGTCTACTTAAAATTTTTCTTAGAGATAGTTTAACTTACTACATTGGTTTAAATTATGCATTATCATGAACATTCGTTTTATTTCCTACATTAAATCAAAATTTCTTTGTGAAAGAGAAGAACGAGACAATTTTCATGCTTTGAACGACAGAAAAGATCTAATGAAAGTCCTAAATCAGATCTTTATTTTTGACGAAAAATTAGTTTACAGTAATAATATGCGATACGATCCATAGGACAAAACTCTTAGCTCATATGAGTGCTTCTCTTATAATTTGATGAGCCTACAACATTAAGAACTCTAATGGTTGAGATTAATTACAAACGTTTTTTTTTTAATTTATATTTGCATTCGATCTTATTCTTTACTTCACATTGGATGATTTGTGAAGTAGACATCATCTGAAGAAAATACTCGATGTTATTCATAAAAGACAATTCATTCTTCTATATGTATATATATCTAGGCCCTAACGTATCAATAATGCTACATTCATCCAGGGTTATTTATTTCTGATATAGAATGCCATTCAGATAGATGTCGCTGTAAAACACTAGAATAATTATTTACATATGTAAGTATTCGTCTATCTTTTTTACCAATCGAAAAATATCCTAATTCTAGATTTGCGCAGAACTATTATACAGAGTCACCTGTATTTCAACGATCAATATGTTAAAAGCTGTCCGTATTCTTTGTCGACAATCATCACCAAATCTATTTCGAAGGTAAATTAGTTTGATGTAAGCCTTCAATTAGTTTATTTTTCTAATTAGATTGCGTCATACTGAAAATTCATCAAAAGATGATATATCTCGTACAACAAGTCTTGGACGTGATTCAACATTTCCAACAGTTTATAATTTTCCTGCTTTATCAAAATCACCATCATGGTTACCACCAGTAAAATATGCTGTACCAGAAGCAAATCGATATGATACAAATGTAACAACACTTGAGAATGGTCTTCGAGTTTGTATTTATATTTCTAATTGGAACAAATTATTTATTGAAGTTTTTGTTCTCTAACAGGTTGCTTCGGAAAAACTTTTTGGTGACTTTTGTACAGTTGGAGGTATTAGTGGAATTTTTTCATTTATTTATTTTATTATTGAAATTTATTATAGTGATTGTTTCTGCGGGGCCTCGATTCGAAGGCAAATATCTTAGTGGTGTTTCACATTTCCTTGAAAAATTAGCTTTTATGGTAAAAGAAAATTAATTTGGTATGTTTTTTCTTGTGAAATTGGAAATTTTATTTTAGTCGACTAATAAATATGGAAGTCGTGAGCAAATTGTCGAAACATTACATGATGTAAATGCTATATGTGATTGTCAAACGTCAAGGTAAATAAAAAAAAAACACTTCATCTTTTTTTCATATTTATACGATTAATGTTTATAGAGATATTATAATCTATGCATTATCATGTCGAACAACTGGTGTTGAACGTGTTGTTGAATTACTTTCTGAAACAATGTTTCGTCCGAAATTTTTACCAGAAGAAGTAATTAACATTTTTCTGTTGTTTTTTGTATGTTATAGTTTTTTTAATGTACAGATTCAATCTGCACAAGCAGCTGTTCTCAATGAAATAGACGATTTAAAAAATCGACGATATGATCCAACTCCAATTTTAACTGATATGATACATGCAGTATATGATTTTTCTTCCAGTTTATAAGTGAAAGTATTCTTATTTTTTTTTGTTAATGTTAGGCTGGCTATGGAAATAAAACCTTAGGTTTACCAAAATATACACCCTTAGACAATGTTTCTCGAATAGATGCATCAATGTTAAGATCATTTACGAAAGAATTTTATCGACCAGAACGCATGGTACTTGCCGGTGTTGGTATTGATCATCAACAACTTGTTGATTTAGGAAAAAAATATTTTGCGATGCCAAAAAATGATGATAAGAATGTTGATCAAAAAACTAATGAAGATAATAAAGCTAAATGGACTGGTGGAGTTGTTATGGTAATGAGATTTTTTACATATTTAATATAGCACAACATTTTTTCAATTTCAATGCTATTGCAATGATCGAAAAACTAAAATCAAATACTTCTAGGCATAAAATATGGATCTACGATAATTAATTACAATTCTAAAAAATAAAGTTGGCAAACAAGAAATTTCTTGACATTAGAGAGAAATAAGTAACGAGGAAAGTTCTCCCAATCGATAAATCGCTTTTGGATAAAGGTAGAACGTAATGAGAATTGTTGATTGTACAAGTGTCAAGTCTTTCGATTTGCTTCTATCCTGAAATAAGAACACCGAATCTACCGGTATATATGAATGATATAAAATATATTTTGTTACCATAGCTGTATCTTAAAATAGGAACCACGGCAAGATTTGAAATATTCACAAGAACCTATTCTCATCATGGACTGTCTCTAAAAGTGTAATACTTTTGGCAAAAATAAGCTAAGAATCTGAACTGTTTTTCAGGATATTCAAAACTCATTTGATTCGACAAAATGCACGTGGTCTCGACTAGAATTTCGGCTTATTTTACAGCTTCGTTCTGTTGTGACTTTTCTATCTGGCACTGAATATAGTTTTTGTTTTTTCGTAACAATGCGATAAATTCGAAGTTGTGGATGGTAATATTCAATTATCGTTTACCAGCAAAATGATCTAATAATTCATTCCATAGAATATATCTTCATGTTTCACATGTCATCGTCATCCTTGTGCGATGCTTTATACGATTGAATCACGT